ACGATGATGTAATATAATGATCAGCCATACACAAAAACGTAATAGGTATTGTATATTTATAATATGAGGTATTTGGATAGTATATGATAGATAGAACTCTTGAAAATCGCAAACTAGGGCTTCTCGAAAAACACCATCGCTCGGACACCAAGCTAGCGACATGCAAACTTTTGGACGCTCGAGCATCAGTTTAGCGGCAGGCTAGCATAATTCTGGCGACTCTTTCTTCATATTTCATACTCGAACCCAGAGACTCACAGTTCATCTATACAACTCCCTAAAAGACTCCTTGACTTTTATAACTCTTTTATAATAATCATTTTTTTTATAATAATCTTTTTGTCTAATGAAATTGCCAATACAACTTAAAACCTGACAAAAATAAAAGTCAGGTATTAGCCGTGGCACTCGGGAAAAATTTACTTACATTGCTGTGTGATTAGTATCCAGTAATTCGATATTATTCATAGCCAATTTTTAGGGGACGATCTGTCAAGAAAGAAGGCTTCCTACAATGTAGAGTGAAAACTACCTTCAAAATCAATAAAAAGATCTAAAATTAGAAGACATGACACAATGAGAAAAAAAAAACACCAAAGTGTGTTGAAGCAATGACGAAAGAATTATAAGCATTGTTTATGCACGGCACAGCCTCGGATACTTAATTGTACATTTAAATTTTTAGTGAGAGCTTGGAGATTGGGACAATCAAATTTAGGAAAAATATCACAATTCGAGGTATTGACAATGATGGGTTAAACTAAACTAAACATGAGGGGGAAACAATAAAATATGTCTTAGATCTTGTTGGCTCTGCTACACTTGAATAGAATTCTCCACATAAATTCGGTGAAAAGTTACTATGCTAAAAATAAAAAAAATTCAATCACATGTTTGAAATAATAATATTTTGAAGTTCTTATTGTCATACAATGAGAACAACTACTTCTGTGAATTCCAAAAATATAAATGGTCTAACAGAATTTTATTTAGGTTTGTGCATGTGCAAAGAAGTGTTAACAACACCATTTATTGAAAATTAAAAAGGTGCCAAAAATCTCTGGAGTCTCAAATTCGAGGACAAAATGCAAGGGAAAACAACTATCGAAGTCCGACACAAATAATTTTTGAAATGTTC